GAGGTGGTGTTTGGAAGAAGGGAAGGCGTGGAGAGCCTGGTGGGCCAGGAAAATGTTGCATGTGCAGCGTTTCTGGCTTTTCGCAAAGCCTTGGGGGAAATCTCTCCGCGTGATATTGACTAAAACGTGTCCTGTGCTTATTCTGCAGCCAATGCCGTAGCCTTTGCACACACTTCACACACATTTTATTCCATTTTAGAAGCACCTGATAATGGGTGCATTTTCTCTAAATTGCAGACGTGCGTGTTGAGGCTCTGTGAGACTGTGACCTGCTCAGGGTGAGACAGGCGGGGAGCTGGACTTGGGCCCCGGACCCCCAACCTGGGCTTGTCTCCTCACTGCCCACAGCTCCTCCTGCTGCTTGTGTCGACGTGGTGCAGAGATGTGGGACTGCTGCTGCTGAAGTGACTGCTCTGTGAAGGGGGCTGCCCCAGTGGTGGCTGGGGTGGGGTCCGGAGCCTCGCCTTGTCCACGGGTGTCGATCTGAATGAGAGCCCCAGGGGAGCCACACTCCAGCCACCCCAGCCTTGCACCTGCTATGGCAATTTCTGCAGCACGCCTTGCGTTCCACACTTCCCCGCCTCTGCATGGGACGCCCTCGGCCCGTGTCTGTAGGAACCCCTGCTCCCAGGGACCCAGGCGATGGCTGTTTCTCCTCCAAGTGTCACCAGAAACGCCACCTCCTCCAGGAAGCCTTCCCCGAATTCCCCCAAACTGATGCTGCAAGCCACTTGGTTTCCAACGCACCAGGTGTCCAGGTGGCACACACAGCTAGTTCCTTCCTGCAGCCACCATGCTGCTCCTTAGTTGCTAACAGAGGAGTGATTTTGAGCAAGCGGCGATGAGCTCAGAGAAGGCTGGCCTGTCCCCAGGGGATGAATCAGAGTCAGCCAGCCCGTTCTCCTTGGCTCACTGCAGGTGGGGAGGGGGAGTTTTTCTATCACAGTGAAGAGAGACCCAAGGGAAGGAAGGTCCCAGCCCCTGGTTTCTTGCCTTTGGGCATTGTCATTTAGGAAGCCACAGGTGATGTAGCAGGAGGGCGGTGGCAGGGAGGCCACCCCCACCCAGATCCTGACTTCATGGAGCTGTTGCCTCCGCTAACCCAGGAGCTGCCCGTCCCCACGCTCCTGGCTACTTGGGGCCATGAACGCCTGGGCTGACCCCACTTTTACTTTGGAGTTTGTTGGCTGAGGCTGCAGGCATGAGCTTCTCTTCCCTTGCCGGATGCTGGTGCCTGGACCTGTCCACGGGCAACTCCTCGAGGGGCTGGCTCTTCTCATCGAGGAGTCCCCAGGGTTCCACACAAGACTTCACACACAACCGACAAATGGACGCCCTGCTCGGTGGTAGATCGGGGAAGAACGGCTGCTCCTGGCAGAGAGGAGGGAAGGAAAGACGGTGGTGTGAAGGTGGAAGGCAAAGTAGCTACGGTCTGCAAAGAGAGGGGCTGCTGGAGGGGAGAGCCCAACACAGCGAGCCCAGGACGGGGAGATGTGTGGCTGGCTCAGCACCCTGTGGGACCACCACCGAAGCCCCTGCAGTGTGGGGGCTCTCTTCTCCCAGTCATCTCGGCAGATGGACACAGGTGACATGCACACAGCTACCCACCAGTCCCAGCTCTCTCGGGAAGGGCTGTGGGGCCCGGCTTGTGGACTGGGCTGGGAGTGACTGTTATCAGGTCTCTGCATGTAGGCACCCTCTTATCTGTGGCCACACTGGACCTCCCCCTAGTGTCATCTTCCCCCCACCCCCAGGGGCCATGAGCCCTGAGGGCTGGGCAGGGCAGGTGCAGTGGTGGCATGGGACACAGATGTCAAATGCCCCCCCCCCCAAGCCTCTTCCTGTCTTCCTTGAGGCACTTCTGCTTCCCTGGTGGCCGCCAGATCAGCCCCTCTGTCCCAAGTGGCTTCCGCTCCAGACAGCTACAGGGCAGTGCCTGGCCTCCCAGAGGGGCTGGGTTTGAGTCCCCGTTGGGCTCTGCTTGCTGCTTGCTGTGGGCCTTGGGCAGTCATCCACTGAGCTCCATCTGTGAAGTGGGCGCACCAAGGCACTCGCAAACTTGCTGTGAGTTGTAAGTGGGACAGGGGTGTAAGATGAGCCAAGCAGTTTTCTAGACGTGAGTCCCATGCAAGGCACATGAGTCTGTGCCCAGAAGGGCCCTGCACTTGGCTTAATGCCCTACTGTCAGCTCTTGAAATTTTTGATTTTTTTTTTTTTCAACAAGGGGTCCACATTTTTGTTTCACGTATGCCCCTGCAAATGATGTAGCTGACCTTGGAGAGGGCTTGGAGAACGAAACAGCCCAGTGAACATGTACGCCGGGTACCTGTGGCTGACAGCACAGATGCTGACCGCTGTGCAGGATGTCCATGCATCACCGCCAATGCCGCAAGCCTGGAATGTGGGCATGGCACCCTCCGTCTTCGCTCTCCGGTTCTGGGTGGGCTTGGTCTGACTGTTGTGCAAACCTCAGTGAGCCTCCTCCCGCCCTGGACGCCCATCGGGGGACTTGCATGAGGCTCCGAAGGCTCCCACCCGCTCCCAGCGAATCCTCTTCCTGCCGCCCTGCACCTGTTGAAAGCCTGCTCCTCCCAGCCGGCCAAGCAGCTCTGCCCCTAGCGGGAGTCGCGGGCATGAAACTCCTCCAGGAAGATCGGGTAAGAGCCACTGCCACCTGCTCTGGCCGCCTCCACCGTCCTCGGCCTCCCGGGGCATCGAAGCAGCCGGCCTTGGGTGAGGACCAGGCCGCCCACAGGTGCACCTGGCCGCGCGGGGTGGATGCTGTGATCTGGGAGCTACTCAGCGGGGGATGGAGGGTGGGATCCTTAGGGTTGGATCCAGCTTTATTGAAAGAGGGAGGTTGTGTATAGACTCGTGAGGCTTAGCATTTCTCCACCTCTGTGTGTGTGTGTATGAGAGAGAGAGAGAGCGAGAGCGAGCGAGCGAGCGAGAGCCTTGAGTCACTGGCCAGCATGTCCCTCTGTACAAGAGTGTTAGTGGACCGTGGCGTGTGCGTGGCTGGTGCCGGCGACCGTGTCGGTGGCAGGCAGTGGAAGGAGCTGGTGCCAGAGCCCGGAGTGTGTAGCGAGGCGGCGCGGGGCACTGGTTTGTCGGGCTGCGATTCTGTGCGGGACGGCCTCGTGGTGCGCGTGCGTCCGTGCGAAGCCGTGGCTGGCAGTGTTGCGGCCCCGCACGGGACGGAGAGCCAGTGCGCCTGTGGCGCTGTGCACTTGCACCGGAGCGCTACAAGCTGTGCTGCTGTGCGTGCGCGCGCCTGTCCCAGGGTCCCAGTTTGTTTATGAGAGCGAGGCCCAGGGGGCGAGTGTGCGTCGTCGGGGTGAGTGGACCAGTGGGTGAGGCAGTGGCTCAGGGTGCGTCCACGTCCCAGCGTGCGTCTGCCTCTATGCGCGCGCGTCCTCTCCCCGGCCCCGCACCCGGGGGCACTGTGGCGGTATCCCAGACGCCTGTGTGTGTCTGCGGGTCGTTAGGGGCTGCATGGCTCCAGTGCAAGGCTGTGGTGGCGCGGGTGTGCGTGCGCGTGTGGGTGTGGGTGTGCGCACCAGGATGGGCGCCACGTCTGGGCTCGGCAGCGGCGCAGCGGCGCGCCCCATGCCGGTGTCTCGCGCGCCCGGCCAGCTGGGGGCCCCCGCCCGCGTGGCCGCGACCCCTCCCGCGAGCGGCGGGCGTGCGCGCCGGCGCCGCTAGGACCCGGCGGCGGCCGGCCGCGGCGCCCGGGCCGCGCGAGTGAGCATGTGCAGAGCGGGGCGCCCGTTCGCCCGCCCGCCCGCCGGCTCCCAGCCCGCCCGCTCCAACGCCGCGCCTCTGCCCGGACGCCCGCAGCCCCGCTAGCCGGGCGGCGGCGCCCTGTGCCCGGCGCGTTCGTCCGCTCGCCGCAGGCGCCGGGGGTGTGTGGGCGCCGGGCAGTGCGGGGCTGCGGGCTCGGCGCCCCGGGTGGCGGGCGCGTGGCCGCCGATGCAGGCGCCTCAACCGGCAGTGATCTCGAGGTGAGTCCTGTCTCCCGGGGGCCCCAGCCGGGACGCCGCGCGGGTCGCGAGCGGTATCTCCCCCACGCCCCACCCCCAGTCACAGGCAGACAAGTTTGAGAAGACGCAGCGGGGAGCGCGGCGGGGCTGCACCTGCTCCGGCTTCGGGGCGGGCTCGCGGGGGGCGCCTCCCAGCCTCTGGAGCCGCTTGCCTGGGGAAGGGGAGTAGGAGCGCGTGCCGGGGTGTGTGTGTGTGTGTGTGGGGTCGCTCGGCCACAGTCGGGGACGGGGGTGCACGCAGGGCAGCTGCCCACGCCGCGTCCCCTCCGGGAGCCCTTCGAGCCCGTCCGGCCCCCGGGCCGGGGGCGGGGGCGAGAGTCGGGGCGCGCTGGCTCCCACGGCGTTAGCCCCCTGCGTGCGGCTGCCGAGCCAGGCTTCCGGCCCGCGGACGGCGCTCTCCAGTCTCCCGGGGAACTTGAGCCGAGGCAGGGGGCGAAAGCGAAACGTTCTGTGTGTTGTCCGGAAAATTACCCGGAGTGGAGCCTCTGCTTGCTGGGGTGGACGGAGGCTCCGGGGCCGGAGCTGCCAGCTGCGTTTCTCTCTGACGCTCAGAAGCGTCCCCGGCTGGGGCCCCTGCCTCGGGGTGGCCTCCCCGGGGCGGTGCTCCGCTCTCCCCCCCCCCCCCCCGCCCCGCGTCCTGCCTCCCGGTGGGTCTCTGCCCTGGTGCCGACTCCGCGTGGGCGCGGCGGGAGCCCTTGGCTGCACCTGCTCACCGTGGGGGCTCCGGCTGCTCCCAAGACCTACCGACTCCTGGCGTTGGGGGGGCTGTCCTGGTGGCCTGTACTTTTCAAAACGTCCCAGACGTCACCTCTGGAGTAGCTGGGGCCGCGCTTGCGGGCTCCTGGAGGCGCTGGGGTTGGCCTGGCCTGTGATGAGACCCCCTTGGCTGGGATCAGGAGTGGGGTCAGCTTCCAGGTTCTCACGCACAGGTAGCGCGGGCGGATGGGGAGGGAGAGACTTGGCCAGGAGGTCAGTCCCTGGCCCTGGGCCGTGGGCTGCAGTTGCCGGAGCTTTCCTTAGGATCCCAAGAGCTTTTCCGTGGGTGAGGGGTGAGGGTGCTTTCTCTCCAGCGTGCTCTGCCCCTCTGCATGGACTTAGCATGGCCGTCAGAAGTCCCTTGGAGAAAGTGCCTCTGGGGGCTTCCAGAGGAAAAGCAGTGCATGCCCGGGGCACAGGGGATGGCGGGAGTTTGGTGAGAGGCCGCGCTGCTGTCCTGAGCCCGGGACAGCTTCATCCTCCCCCGAGAGGAGGCTGGGGCCCTCCCAATGCGCCTGGCTCTCAGGGCTTCAGCAGGACCGTCTCCTCGGGTCTCCTGGGAGAATGTCTTCCTTGGAGGTAAGGAGGTCCCTCCTTTCACGGTGGCCGTCAGCACCTCTGGGTGGAAGTGCAGAGGAGCCTGCATTAGGAGGTTGGCCTCGCGACCCTGCTGCCTGCCTGCCTCGCCAGGCTGCAGCCGCCCCTCGGGGCCACCAGCAGGTCTGCAGCCTGGCCAGGTCAGGCAGAGCCGATTCCTGGTGGAGCGAGCCGGAGCAGGCGGTCAGTGCCTCTGAATCCAGATGCAGCCTGCAGGCCTGGAGGCAGCCGTATCCCGCAGGAACTCGGGCAGGGCTGTGTCTCTTGATAGGCTCTCGGTCTCCGAGAGATGAGCTTCCCACCTCTCCCCTGGGGGCCACAAGGACTGTGGGCAGCTCAGTGAGGTGTGAGTGACCATCCCACACCCCAGCGGGGGCGGAGCAGGTCCCCAGCAGCTGAAGCCGGGTTGGGTTGCAGTGGCCCTTCTCTCCAGTGTTGCTGCCTCGCATCGCTCCACACCCTGTCTTTAATGGCCACCGTGTTAACCTTTGGTCTGCACGAGTGTCGGACCTGTGCTGCTGATGAGGGGGCACACGTGGCGGGGATGGAGGGACCGGTCCCTGTGCACTGTGTTCCCTGTGGAGGTGCGAAGTGGGTGCAGGAATGTGCCGGGTGCACTTCTCCTCCAGGTAGCCCCTCCCCTCCACTTGTTGACCTACCTCCCCTGGAGCTGAGACCGCCCTGGGGGTGTGAGCCCCCTCCAGGGGGTTCTGCCTTGGCCCAAGGACAGGATCATAGCCGGTGTGTTGGGCCAGCTCCCTGAGTCCCCGTCCCAGGGGCAGGCACTGACCAGAGGAGGACCAGGCTAACTCTGCTTGGGGCCTTCACGCTCTTGCCCAGCTTTATCCGACCCGCCCCGTCGCCTTTGAACACCTGTTCACCTGCCAGACTCTGAGCGAGACCCAGACCCCCCTCAGGGGTTCCCCACCAAGGGGAGGAAGCACCCAGACAAACCAACAAGATGGGGTTCCATAAGAATGGTGGCCCAGAAGAGGCTGGTCGTGGCTGCTCGTTCCAAGAGCGGGGTGGGCTCCACACCGGCCAACCAGAGGCAAATGCCAGCCCCTGTGGTCGTGCCCCGTCTCAGTGCACGGGGCCGAGCAGGCCGAGGTGGCGCAGGCCAGCGTGCACCTGTGCGCTTGGCAGCAGAACACTTGGCTTGGGTCCCGCAGTGGCTGTTTGTCGTTGCTGCCGCCGGCGGGCCTTCGCGGAGCCTCAAGTGCTGCATCTGTGCACTGGGCATGATGATGAGCTTGACGTCCCGAGGTCTGGGGGGATCACACATTCGCTTGCTCATCTGCTCATTCATTGAGCACACCTGGTGGTTCCGAGAGTGCCTTGCGATCTCCTGGGTGGGCTGTGACGGTTTGTTCTCATGTGAATCCTGGGGTCCCGCAGGGGCGTCTCTCCCATTGCACCAAACTGAGTTTAGACCTTACTCACTTGCTTTTTACCCTTTTAGCCACTTTTTTTTTTTTTTAAATTTTGGACCCTTTTTGCTGAAGTTAAAAGATTCAGAAGGCAGCAACCCCGCCCCAGACCGGGCCCAGGTGTTTTGTGTCGCGTTCCACACTCCCTTTCACAGTCTGCAAGACCCAGATTCGGGCTTGTGCGTTAGGGCGTGGCCAGGGGCTCTCATCTTCTGCACCTGCCCTGTGCCCCACCCAGAGGGAGGCCGAGGCTCAGGCTGTGTTGGCTGGGAGGAGGCAGGAGGACGGCTCAGCAGGCACGGTCCACAGCAACATCTGTTCTCGGTGCCCCCAGGGGGGGTCAGGGAGGCTTCTCGGAGGAGGCGGCGGCAGGGGAGCTGTGCAGGAAGCAGCTTAGAGCCAGGAGAGGGGAGCAGCGACCCCTGGCTGGTGGAAGGGTGCAGGGGAGGGGGGCCCTGTGGTTGGGGCTCAGCGTTGTGGAAAGAGCATTTAAAGACAGGGGCTGGGGACTAGGCCAGGAAGGGCCCCCTGGTGCCACGCTAAGCGGCTGGGCTCTGCTGTGCGAGCCCTGAGGAGTCCCTGCAGGCCCTGGCTCTGTTAGTTCTTCGCATGGGAAAGGGCACTTGAGGCACTGGAAGGGGCCAGCCTGCTGGAGCGGGCTGGGGTCCCGGTGACGGGTGCTGAGCCTGAGTGCAGGCAGGAGGGGGAGGGGTGAGGAAGGACAGGGCAGGGGACATCCAGGCGCCCTGAGCACAGCTGTGGGCTCCCCAGGCGTGTCTGCGATAAGGCCCCCAAGTAGGGGCTCTGGGCCGCGGGGCCTGCGGGCCCCTCTCCTGCTTGTCTGCAGAGCGTGTGGCCCGGAGCCCCAGGGGTGTCACAGCCTTTGCTGCAGTGGTGTGTCTGAAGTCACCCTCCCCTGGGCTGCCACTGTCTGTCCCCTCTAGCCAGGGCGTGGAGGGAGCTGGAGAAGTCATGTGAGCGCACCCCAGTGGCTGCTGGTCAGGCCCTGTTGTCAGCCCTAGGGACTGCCTCTTGTCCTCTCCTCTGCCCACTGCCATCGCCTGCTCTCTGCACCCCCAGCCTTCCCGGGGGAGGTGCCACTGCACCCCACCCCCTCCTGACACTTGGTCTCTGCACCCCCAGCCTTCCTGGGGGAGGTGCCACTGCACCCCACCCCCTCCTGACATTTGGTCTCTGCACCCCCAGCCTTCCTGGGGGAGGTGCCACTGTCCCCCACCCCTTCCTGACACTTGGTCTCTGCACCCCCAGCCTTCCTGGGGGCGGTGCCACTGTCCCCCACCCCTTCCTGACACTTGCTCTGTATAACCCAGCCTTTCCCACACTGTCCCCCACCCCCTCCTGACACTTGGTCTCTGCACCCCCAGCCTTCCTGGGGGAGGTGCCACTGTCCCACACCCCTCCTGACACTTGCTCTGTATAACCCAGCCTTTCCCACACTGTCCCCCACCCCCTCCTGACACTTGGTCTCTGCACCCCCAGCCTTCCTGGGGGAAGTGCCACTGTCCCCCACCCCCTCCTGACACTTGGTCTCTGCACCCTCAGCCTTCCTGGGGGAGGTGCCACTGTCCCCCACCCCTTCCTGACACTTGGTCTCTGCACCCCCAGCCTTCCTGGGGGAGGTGCCACCTGCCCCCCTCCCCCACTCCTGACACTTGGCCACTGCTGCTTGCCTGGAGCCTGGGTAGCATCATAGCAACTAAAGCTCAGGTTTTCTCAGTCCTACCTGCTCTACCCTCCTGCTTCCTGCCTGAGATTCCAGGAGCCCCTGCTCTGCTCCAGAATGACCCCAGTGGGGGAGGAGGATGGCAGTGGTGGGTGTGCGCCTGTGTCTAGCCCAGCACCCTCTCCCAACAAGGCAGAGGTGGGAAGCTGGTCAGTCTCCCCTGAAGCACCGTGCAGGGTTCTGAGATGAGGGGTGCCACCGGGTACCACATCTCGGGGGGGCAAGTGATTGTGATTTGCAAAGGAGGGGAGGGACCCGCGGCCAGAGCCTTTCACACATGGCAGTGTCTGGAAGGCTTGGCTCAGGAGATGCTGTGTGTTAGTATCGTCGTCTCCAGGAGCTTTGGCCTGGCAGGATTTCAAAAGGCGCTGACGGAGGCATACTCGACTCCTTTCAAGAATAAATCTTGCCTTGTGCAAAGCCGGAGCTGGTGTGGGAAGAGAGGCAGGAAGCGGAGTGGCACGGGGTGGGCTCTGGGAACAGGTGTCCTGGGTCTGAGTGCCGGCCCTGGCTTGCCTGACCTTGGGCGGTGAGCTGCACCTGCTCAGTTCTGGCGGCCTCAGCCGGGGTTCTGCCTGGGAGGGTCGCGTGGAGTCGGTGAGGTGATGCCGGTAAAGGCATTACCCATCTTGCCTGTTCATTAAAGCTGCACGGGCCTTGTAGACGGTGGCACTGAGACAGCGAGCGACAGCCAGCAGCCGCCTTAGCATAGCGATTGACTTCAGGCAAGAGTAGGCTGCCGGGCTCACTCCAAGGAGTGGGGGGGCCAGGGGAGGTGGAGGGGGCCCTGGGGACTGTTTCACCTGTGGCACAGCTGTTGCAGGCCCGCCCTGCAGCTTCTCCATGTTGGCCTCTCTTGCAGGGTTACCCAGTGCAGAACGCAGCCTGTGGGAAACAGAAGTGCCCCATTCACTCTCCATTCCCATCCCATCCCAATGCTGATTTGCTCCCATTGAAACAGATGAGGGCCCGAGGCCCTGCCCTGTGTCGAGGTCTACCCAGCCTGGTTTGATGTGCCGCACGGCCTGGGGTGCAGTGGCACAGCTGCCAGCCTCCCGGGCCTGGTACAGACCGGCAGTGGCCCGATGCTTTCCAGCTGTGGCCGCCTCCGCTGTCTACCTTACCTTGTGGCTTGGCTGCTAGCCCGCACACGGCTGCTCCAAGTGTCCGGGCCTACCCGCAGCCCTCTCCTGGGTTCAGTCACTCGGCAGACGCTGGGTCACTGCCCGGCTGGCCGTGTGCATCAGGTGGGATCCGAGCCCTGGAGGAGCTGTCAGCCTCGGGCAGAGGGAGCCAGTGGAGAGTGGGGCCCATGGGCAGGGAGGATGGTGGCCGTGAGGTGCAAGGCGACTCCAGGGCAGGGGGACAGACGCTCAGGCCGTGCAGTGCCCAGTGAGTGTCCTGGCTGGCGGTCAGCTGGGCGATTTTGTAAGTTTGCAGTGACACAGCTTGCTTGGCAGGGGAAGTGGCTGCTTCTGTGTGGACTCCCAGACCTCGGAAGTGCTTCCCACCCCGGAAGAGGACTTTGGGGGGAGTTTAGAGTCCTCACTGAGGAGCCCCACCCAGCTGCTGTCAGGTACCCAAAGTGAACGCCGCACCCGCTCGTCAAAATTCTGAGCCGCGAGCCGTTGCCCACTTTCCAGTAGGTTCTCGCAGCAGGTGCCGCCTCTCCCGGACTTCTGTCCGATTTCTCACTGTTGGGATCCCAGCCGTAGAACTTGAACCCTTCTCTGGACAGACCTGGAGATGCCTCTTCCTAGAGTGACCACCTGGGGGCAGGGAGCACCTGCTGGGAGGTCCTCTAGCTGACTCCCACAGGTCTGCAAGGCCTGGCTTGGTTAAATGCAGCCTTTGCTGGCCGGAGGGCCTGTGCCCAGCTCTGCAAGAGTGGAATTTGAGATGTTGCTGCCTCGCAGGAGCAGGCTTCTGATGTTTCCTGTCCGTGTCTTCTTGGTCATTTTCAAAATGATATTCAGAAGCACAGAGCCCTGGGCATCCGGGCCAGGCCAGGCCTCAGGCTGGGGCCTGGAGCACTGAGAATGGCTCTGGTATGGCCCCCAGCCTGGAGTCCATCACAGTCCCCCTGGGTGATTGATGGGGAGGTGGACAGTTCTAGTTGTCCCAGGATCACGGGGCCACCAGAGGCGGTGGAGACACCGAGGGAGTCTGTGCCAGTGGGTGATGGTAGTCAGGGACGGCTTCCCGGGGAGGTGATGTCTGAGCTGAGCCTTAGAAGATACACAGAGATTTTCTGGATGAAGAAGGGGAAGGCTTGGGAGCGACCTGTGCAAAGGCACTGAGGCAGATGTGTTGTGGTTACTGGTGGCTCTGCTGGACTGCGAGGTAGGGGTGTGTGTGTGTGTGTGTGTGTGTGAGCGAGAGAGAGAGAGAGAGACTCTCAAGGGAAGACGAGGCCAGAAAGGCCAGATCGTGAAGGGGGCCTTGGATGTCATGCTAAGGAGCTTGGAGCTGATCCCTAAAGCCGCCGGAGCTTCTGAAAGGGGTTTTATGCAGAGAGCCCCGTGATGAGGTTTGGAGCGTTGGAGGCTCGCCCTGGCAGCCTGTGGAAGAAGGATTGGAGGGGCCGGGGCTGGAGGCAGAGGGATCAGGCAGGATTTCGTGGGATTTTCTCTGTGGTTGTACAAATCGGATGAGGCTAGCTGGGGTGGGCCTGGCACACACACACACACACACACACACACGCTCACACATGCACACACCCCCCAGCTTAGATAATAACAGCTCCGAGGCCCATGTGAATGCACTTCCTGCCTCGGGGGCTAATTCCACTGTCTTTCCTGGTGTCCAGCCAGCCTGGCCACCCCCACTCCCCTCGCCTCTCTGTGGGCCAGCCCTGTGCCCATGGCCCTGCCCTCCCTGAAGGCCCGGAACCTGGGGCCCCTCAGCCTGCAGTCAGGGAGGGCCGGGCTAGGTCTGGGCCCCTTCGGGCCTTCAGCCTCAGCTGGGGGTGGGAGCCTGGAACGCCAGCCCCAGGAGCCCAAACATTGTCTTTCCTGTCACACCGGCCATCTGTCCCTGTGCACAGAGCGGCCATTGAGCGGCCGCGCGGGCCTGGCGGGGGTCCCAGCCCCGTTTGTTACGGGGCAGTGGCTTAGTCACGCTTCTGTGAGCCTTTCTTCTGGGACAAGCCTGCCCTTGTGCTGGGGGCCGCCTGGCACAGCAGCCCAGCCCGCGGCAGCTGCAGGCCCCCGCGCCAAACCCAACAGCGCACTTCAGAGACGCCGCCGGTGGGAACCACAGCCCGCCGTCCTGGGGTGGAACCACAGCCCGCCGTCCTGGGGTGGAGGCGCCCACGGGGGCTTCTCGGGGACCCTCCTGCCCTCTCCTGTCCCTCTGGCTAGGGCAGGGGTGGGGGCACAGGGACTTAGCCCACTCCCTCCCCCGGGTCTCCTTCTGTGTGAGAGCCGGCCACCAGCCTCTGCGGAGGCACCTTCCAGAACACAGCTCGTGGCCCCAGGGCATCCTGGGAGTCTGCTGGTTGTACACACATGGGACACCTGGGCTAGGTGCACCTAGCTGTGGCGATGTCTCACGCTGAGAGCACAGGCTCGGGCCAGTGTTGTGGCACAGCGGGTTAGGTGGCTGCCTGCAACACTCTCATTCCCTGTGGGCATCAGTTCAAATCCCAGCTATTCCACTTTCTATCCAGCTCCCTACTAATGCTCCTGGGAGAGCAGCAGAAGATGGCCCAAGTGCTTGGGTCCCTGGCACTCATGTGGGAGACTGGATGGAGTTTCGGGCTCCTGGCTTCGGCCTGGCCCAGCCAGTGCGCTCATTTGTGTAGCGAACCAGCAGATGGAAGCTCTCTCCCCCCCGCCCCTCCCCCCATCTGTCCTCTCTCTTTGTAACTCTGCGACTTTGGAAAAATGGCTTCCCTCCTCATCTGTCCAATGGGGGTGATGATAAAAGCTCCCGCCCCGGATGCGTGTGGCTGACGAGTAAGACGTGTGCCCAGCACACGCTAAGCACGGTGCACGGCAGCTGCTGCCCAGGGCTGCTGCTGTCACCCCTGGGCCTCCGCTGTCACTCAGGGAGCGAGGGCTGTGGTCCCCCTTCACAGATGGAATGCTGGCACCCAACGGGGTTCAGCCACTTGCCCTGTGTCACAGAGCTGGGATTTGAACCGTGCAACATGGCTGCCCTTTGATACATCTAGCACGGCGTGGGTTGGGGGGGTCCTGCTCAGGGGTGGGGTGCTAGAGCAGACTTTCACGTTGTGTCTAAGTTTCTCTTTCTCCACATTTCAGAGTTCAAGCCAGATGAGGGCGGCTAGAACTCGAAGATGGGGGTGTTGGTAACTCCGGGACAGAGGCAGCTGCAGGGCCTGGTGCCACCTGGGGAGAAGTGACGGCACCACTGGAACACCTGCTGGCTCCGGGGCCGACCGGCGAGCCAGGGTGGCACGGGCGGGTCCCGGGAGCCAGCATGGAAGGATGACGTCCCCAGAGGCCCCGGCCTCTGTCCTGCCCGGGCACTAGGAGCCATCCCCGGGGCTCCGGCCGGGAGCCCTGCCGCCCAGGGGTATGGCCAAACCTCTCTTCCGCCTCCAGAAATTTCTCCGCAGAACACAGTTCCTGCTCTTCTTCCTCACGGCCGCCTACCTGATGACTGGCAGCCTGCTGCTGCTGCAGCGGGCCCGAGTGGCCCTCGCCCCTGGTCCCCGGGCCCCCGGCCCCCTCCAGGCTTTGCCCGTGGCCGCCGTGGCCCTGGGTGTGGGCCTGCTGGACAGCAGAGCCCTGCGCACCCCCCGCGTCAGCCCGACCTGCTGCTCGACGTGGACGTGCTGCGGCGCCCCCCAGCCCGGCCGCCGCCCGGGCTCCGCTGGCCACAGAGGAGCCGCAGCCCGGAACTGCGCCAGCTGCGGCGCCGCTGGTTCCACCGCTTCCTGAACGACCCCCAGGGGCCACCTGCCGCAGGCCCCGAGGACCCCAGGCCCGCCGCCCGAAGCCAAGGTGGGTGCAGCCGCGTTCTTGGAACCCCTTTCTCCGGCCCCTTGACAGGCGGGCACTGCGGGCCCGTGGCCGCCCCAGACTCTTCCCTCCTCTGCCCTGCAGCTGCTGGGGCCTGTGAGCGTGTCACCCAGAGCCCTGCCACTGTCACGTGACCAGCTGCTCTGCCAGCTGCCAGCAGGGTGGCCGGAGCACAGAGCACCAAGTGGCAGGGTTTAGGAGCTGAGAGCAAAGCTTTATTGGAGGATCCTGAGAGGGTCCCGGGGGAGAGGCTGGCTCAGCTAGCCTGGCCAAGGGGCTGTAGGACTCAGCAGGGCTCGTGGGCAGGAAGAGAGGGGTGAGATGCTCTGTGCACACAGATGTAATTCTGTAGATGCCCCAGCATGCCAGTGCAGCTTGTTCAGACTAAAGTGTAAGTGACTTCTAGAAGTCAGCCTGGAGGTCTTGAAAGAAGGCCGCGGAAAGAGCGCGCCGAGTTCTTGGTGTTGCCGCTTCCGGGCTCTGTGAGCTCAGGCAAATCCCACGCTTCCTCAGAGTCTCCCTGTGCGCCCCCTGGAGATCTCGCTCTGCTACTGCAGCCGGGAAGACACAGCCCAGCCCCACTGGGGTGCAGATCCACCTGCAGAGGGCTTGTGGACTGCATAGACAGAAGTGACTTTGCCGGTGACCGGCAGAGGGGAGGGCTCAGGGGGAGCCCGCCCTGGCCTGGGTTCGGAGTGATCTGTGTCCAAGAGAGCAAATGAGCGCCCCTTGACTTTGAAATTCCTCCGGAAGAGTTCAGGAGACGTGTGAGGGATTGTGGGTAGACGTGAAGCGCCCCGAGATTCACCTGTTACCCGGCTGTCTGGGCTTCCAGTTGTTAAAGCGCTGACTCATTTCCACATCAGTTAAAGTGCTGACTCACTTCCACACCTGTTGATCAAGTGGTGACTCACTTCCACGCCAGTTGTTAAAGTGCTGACTCACCGCCACACCTGTGACACATAGTTATTGCCCCCTTGTGGGGGTACTATCTCTACTCTGGCTGCCCCCCCACACCACTGACCCCCAAACTCCCCTGTTACCCAGCAGGAAAGGGTTAACTTCAGGGCCAGCGGTGGAGGCGGGGGAGTGGCAGATCTGGTTGTGAACTGTTTGGAAGATGGCCCAGGATTTAAGGTGGGCTTTATTTATCCCCCGCAGAAAAGTGAGTCTGGGGGTAGAGGGGCCGGGTGGGCATGGCTGGAGCGCTCCCGCTCCGTGGGAAGTGGCTGTGGTCCTGCCCCTGCTTACGCCGCCGCCAGGGTCTCTTCCCAGCCCGGGCCGGCCGCCAGCCCCGCGGAAGCTGCAGGCGGCCCCGTCCATCACGGGGTGTTTCGTTAGACCTTGGACAGCATCCATAATGGGATAAAGCGTCAGTACTAGGGGAAGAACGGTGTAACTTCTCCGTGGCCAGTTTGTTTTTTATCGACAGTAATTTCCGAAGACGTCCCACTCCCTCCTGAGCCGCCGTTAATAGCCTGGCGGCCTGTCTGTTCTGATGTGCAAATGAACAGATGTGGACGCAGACAGGGATGCCTTGCCTGCCTCCCTCCGTCCCTGGCCTCTGGCATGGAGTTAGAAAAGCCGTGCTTTGTGCTTCCAGATAAAAGGAGGGACCTTCTCCTCCACTGCCAGGGGTCCAGGGGCCACCATGTGCCTCCTGCTGCCCCCGAGGCCCTGGGCAGCCAGGCCTATGCCAGGGAGCCCGAGGCTGACCACCTGAAGCCCTTCTCCTCTCTTCTTATTAACATGTTAATTATTCAGCTAGCGCTTCCTGACCCCCGGGTTGGCCACTTGGGATGGGGCGCTGATGGCCGTGACTTTGCGGCGTCTGCCGTGTGGCACGCGCTATTCTGGATAGATGGGCGTCTGCCGTAATTTAATCTTCCAGCAACCTTCTAGTGTAAGTGATGCTATCACCATTTGATTTATTTATTGTTTAGGGTTGATTTATTTATTTGAAAGGCGAAGTGACAGAGACAGACAGAGATTTCCATTTGCTGATTCATCCCCCAAATGGCTACAGTGGCTGGGGCTGGGCCAGACGGAAGCCAGGAGCCAGGAGCTCCATCCAGGTCTCCCCATGGGGACAGGGGCCCGGATACTTGGGCATCCTCCAGTGCCTTCCCAGGCTCATCAGCAGGAAGCTGGTTCAGAAGCAGAGCAGCTGGAACTAGAACCACTACTCCAGGACGGGATACCGGCATCACAAGTGGTGCCTTAACCTGCCTCGAATGGCCAGCCCCTGCTGTCACTGTCTTAATGATGAAGAATTTGAGTTTCAAGCAAGTAAAAGAATTAAAAATGTTTCTTTATGAATAATGAGCTGAGCACTCGTTAGCCTAAGCCTTGTGTTAAATTTTGCGTCTAACTGCACTTCGCATTATTTGGGAAATTGTTGAAACCATTCTGTGAAATCGGCACCATGTCCCCATTTTACACATGGGAGGGCTGCGGCTCAGCGAGGGGAAGCTGTACACCCCTGGCCGCACAGATCATGGTGGAACCAGCATTGGAACCTAGGTCAGCTTGTGCTCCAGGGCTGTTGGCATCCAGTCTCCGGAAGCGAGTTTGCACGGCTCAGCCTGAAGGTCTCGCGCACAGCTCCGTCGCAGCCTTGCTGTGAACTGCCCGTTTACAGAGATAACACGTTTAACAGTCCCGGAGCTTGTGTTTTGCATATGTTCCATTGCCAGTAGCGGCAGAATTGCTTCTTTGCTGAGCCAGGAGTTTCTCCAGCTCCGCTTTTCTTGTCCTTAGTGGGCAGGCGGAAGGGGAGAGCCCGTGCCGGCCGCCCGGGGTGAAGGCTGTCTACGCGCTCCTCAAAGCTGCAGCAGGTGCCCGTGCACGGCACGTGGGGAGTGGTCACATGGGCTGTGGGGCTCCTAGGCCTCCCGGGGGCCAGGCCTTGGGCAGCCGTGGAAGACGGTGGCTGTGGCATCCTTTCTTAGCCCCAGCACCCTCCACCCTGAGCTCCTGGCGTGGCAGGAAGTGCAGCCTCCTGCTGCCCAGTGCTTTTCCTCTGCTTCGCTGCCCTTCAGCTTAGGGCCCTGGGAGCCACGCCCTCCTGGCATTGGGCCGTCCACTCCCAGCCTGCATCCGGGGGCCGTGTGGGGGTGGCTTTTAGGAGCATTGTGTTTAACAGACAGGGCACACAAGCATGAAAGGGTTTTATTGACATTAACAGCAAAGGTTCGTGACAATGGTTTGGCTGATAGTGAGTTTTTCAGGCCTGGAACGCAGAACAAGGTGAGGACCCAGGGAGCTGGCAGGGTCAGTGCTGGGGCCTCCAGCCTTCAGGGATAGGTGGAAAGGTGCACGTGGATATGAGGGAGGACCAGGGACAAGCCCAGAAGAGGGAGAAATGAACTGGCGGTTGGGGGGGGGGCACTGATCCATTTGACAGTTGGGGAAACCGAGGCACAGCGTGAGCAGAGTGAGAGCAGGGATGATGTGTGGTCCTCACGCAGAAAAGCCACACCCCACTTGGGGCCCTAGAAGCAGGTGGCCGGCAGGCTCGCTCCTGGGAATCACCCAGCCCGTGCTCCCTCCCTGGCCCCAGAACAGAGTTCTCAGCCGTGAGGACTTCCCTCCTCCTCCCGGAGACGGCTTCATTCCTGGGGAGGCTGTCGGGCACCCACAGCTGGCGTTTCAGAGGCATCCTCGGGGAGGAGTGTGGCGTGTGTCATGGGCCCCGGTTGTGCGGCTCTCGTGGGTGTGCGCTCAGAGCTCACAGGGCGTGTGTGGAAACACACGTGTGCGTAGGCTCGTGTGCGGCAGTTTCTCCACGCATCTCTGCGAGGTGTCTCCCACCCTTGTTGGGGACCCGGCCGGGGTGTGACAGTGCGGCGGTGCCGCCACCGCAGCTCTGTGGGGCTGTCCCTCAGTGTCCCCTTCCAGGACCATACCTGAGGTGACCGGAGAGGGCTCTGCGGTGGCTGGGTCTGGTTGATGCCCACGCACGGCCCCCGACGTGCTAGCCCGCACATCAAGTGCACTCCAGCAGTGAGGGCCTGCTCCCTGCTGGACACAGAGGATTCCCTTTTTAAAAGCGGTTTTGGATTTTATTTGTATTTGTTTGAAAGGCAGAGTGATAGAGAGAGGGACAGGACAGACAGAGTCCCCCATCCACTGGCTCTCTCCCTAAATGCTTTCAGCAGCAAGGGCTGGGCCAGGCTGGAGCCAGGAGCTCCATCCGGGTCCCTCATGGCAGAGACAGGGATTCAAGTACCTGGCCCGGCGAGAGCGTCGGCAGCAAGCTGAATCGGGCAGAGCCGGGGCGGGAACCCCGGCTCTATATGGGACACAGGTGTCCCAAGTGGCATCTTGGCCTCCGCCCCAAACACCTGCCATGGCTTTCTTCCCCGGAAATAGCTCTCCCCGCCCAGAAGAGCTTCCTTCTATCGGCCGACACCACACCTTCCCCCACCAGTGTCCTCCCTGCGGCTCCCAGGGGGCAGGCAGGCTCCTGTCCAGGACACGAGGTCAGAGCCCACGGAAGGTCATTCATTTACCCAGACGTGGGGAGCCAGGGGCCATGGAGGAAAGTCAGGCTGACGCCAGGCTCCTGCTGGGTTGTCCGTGTGGACGGTAGGCCGGCCACTATGAAAGGGGGTGGGAGGGAGCTGTCATTCGTAAAGCCATGACCTGCTGGCACCCAGTGGTGTCTGTGTGGGTGCCGTGTGTTCCCCAGGGCTCCAAGCGTGGCGTCCTGACGAGGAGATGACAGCTGCCCCCATGCTGATTCCATCAGCACCCATTGTACACTTCATTACAATACCACAGCATACCCCGCAGACATGTATGACCAGTGCATGTTAATAAAATGTAGTAAATGTTTAGGGAGATGGACATCGTGAACGTGTCCAGATGCTCACACTCAACCCCCAAACACGTGCGAGTGTAATAAAGAGTGTGCAACAAAAGGTGGACGGTCCCCGCAGCGAGGAGGGGGCCAGGCCCCGAGTCCCTGAGTCCCCGTGGCTCCTCCTGAGGGTGGGGCTGTCCGTGATCAGGACCCCTCCTGCCATGTGCTGGACCTCTGACCTCCATGCCGCTTCATCCCGGCAGGCGTCTACATTGGGTGCTTCCGCGATGCCGGCCAGGAGAGAACACTGAAGGGGGTGGTGTTCTATGACCTGAGGAAGATGACCGTCGCCCACTGCCAGGACGCGTGTGCTGAGCGGTGAGTGCCGGGGCCCCACAAGGTTGGCTCTGCTGGCAGAGCGCTCGGGGGACAATCCCCGAACAAGGTGACCCTTTGGCTGCCAGTGGCTGATTGCCGTGGTACAGTCACACCTCGATTCATCAGATCCCAGTGTCCGTAGGAAAGGATGTTGTGGGCGGGTGGTGCCAGGTGCTGGGCGCTCCGTCCGGGTCTCCCAGGTGGGTGCAGGGGCCCAAGCACTCGGGCCTCCTTCACTGCTTTCCCAGGTGCATTAGCAGGGAGCAGGATCGGAAGCGGAACAGAAGGAAATCAAACTAGTGCTCTGATGTGGGATGCTGGCAGCGTAGGCAGAGGTTCAGCTGCTGAGCCACACCCCCAACCCAGGAAAAGTATTTGTCTTGTGTTTATGACAAGATATGCCTATTCGGATACTGCCAGCTCGCCCAGTAGTTCTGGGGCACTTCTCCCTTGGCGGGGACCAGTCCCTGTTGTCCCCACTAGGATGTACTCTGTGTGCGTGCGTGCATGAGTGTTTTTGCACTTGCCTGGGTGTGCGCACCTACCTGTGCTTGCTGGAAGCAGGTGAAACAGAGTCAGCACACAGCGTTTGTCATTTGTTTCCAGCTCGGTAGCTTTCTTCCTGTTTGCTACGTCACATAAATCCTCAGTACCCTCTGTCAGGTAGCGAGGCCATTTTACAGGTGGAAAAACGGGGGCTGGAGACAGAATGGACGGGGTCTCTACCTGTACGCACTGCACAGTCTAGCTCAAGCCAGAGCTAAGGGTGATACAGGCTCGTTTGGGTCCGAGAGTTCAGGAAGCTGGGCCTTGGAGCGTCTCACAGCGAGTCGGAGGCCAGACGGGGACTAGAAGCATCTGCACGGATCTTCCATCCAGGCCTGTGCCGCCCAGGCGCCCTGCAAAGGGAGTTTGAAAACAGGGGCCGCTTTGTGCAGTTCGGCCCTGCGCAGTCTGTTTCCAGGCATTTCCTATGGCCTCGCACCTGACGGTGGAGAAGCGGGCTGTGCCATAGCGCCGGTCCGTGAGCCGGGGCACGCTGTCCCCTGGGGATTGTTGTGTGCCTGCTGCCATTCACCGCGTGCCCCCTCCTCGGTCTGATGCAGCCCATCCCCACCTGTAGGCCTTGCCTTCACACCCACGAGTGGATTAGGAGGTTGGAGGCCAAGCCCGTGGGGAACACCAAACACCTAAACCTGTATCCAAACCCTAGCACCGTGCATCGGCTCCTTCCCTGCCCCCGCAACCCCGTGAGACCCAGGTTCCCAGCCTGTGACCTGTATCTTTTCGTAACCCAGAACCCTGGATGTCACCTTAGGTGGCAGAAACCGGGGGTGACAAGAGGACCAGTGGGGCAGGTGAAATTTGTTTGTCACAAAGCAAAGTCTGAGCCTTGCACTCTGTCACGTGACCCTCACGTGAGCCCCAAGGCCTCCCACCTGCTGACACCCCCTCGCCCGGACCCAACCTCAGCTTCAAGTTCAACCCCTATTCCAGCTCCAGAGCCTCCTGAGCCAGCCAGGCCCCGTGTCCCTGCAGGTCCTACGTCTATGCCGGCCTGGAGGCCGGAGCCGAGTGCTACTGCGGGAACCGGCTCCCAGCGACACGCGTCGGGCTGGACGAGTGCAACCAGGAGTGCAAAGGGGAGAAGGGCACGGCGTGCGGGGCCGTGGGCCGGCTCTCCGTGTACCGGGTGGAAGACCTGCAGCCGGGCTCCCGGAAGCGTGAGTGTGCTAGCCTCTCCCCAGCTCTGCTCAACCCATGGGCCCCCACTGCCCCCTGCAGCCGCTCACCCAAACTGCGGAGGGCCGGGGCGGGCAGAACCTGTGCCCTGCCTCCCCCGTCGTCTTCCCCAGAGGGGCTCCCAGCAAGGGGGGGGGTGGTGGTTAGGGTCCCTCAAAGACGATTTCTGAGTTTGTGTCCGAGGCCCACCTGTCCCTGTCCCTCACAGCAGAGAAACCGATGAGGAGGCCTGAGGCCTGATACGCCTTGGATGTGCTGTGCGTCTTCAGGCAGCTCAGTGGCCCTCTCTAGGTTCGTGTAGTGAACTGCAGCAGCAGACCTAGATGGCTAGAATGAGGTGGATCAGAGAATCTGAAAAGTTCCAGCTAGGAATGCTGGATGAAACTGAGCATTTTAAATGCATAGCTTAATTAGCAGCAAAGAAAAGCAATCCGTGTGTCCAGACAGAGAGAAGTAGGAACCACAGAGGTGAGAGAAAGGGACATCACTGTGTAGCTCTGGGTCCAAGCACGGGCCTTGCCGGGCTCGGTGGCCTCAGGGGTGATTTTCACGGCTGAGCGGGGTGGGGAGGGAGGCCTGAGACCTGGCATGCCGTGGGGCTTGGGCTTCAAGCCCCTGTGTACGGTAGAATTCGAATGTCACTGAAATGCACCTGGTGAAAGTCTAGAGACATCGGCTTTGCTTCTGTCGCCCACTGGTTAAGGGACAGATGTGCACTCCCTCAGGGCAGCCCCAGCTCGTGAGCCGGCTGGACCTGCTGTCACGCTGATGTGGAAAATGGCAGCCGCTCGCTGTGGCAGGCTGGAGCCCCGTGTGGTTGATGGCGGCTTCCGCTTGCTCCCCAGGGGCTGAGCAAGAGGCAACCAGGCGGCCGCTGTCGTCAGTTGCAGCTTCGAGCTGCCAGGGTGCTCTCCCAGAGAGCTGGGACCAGGGAGCTTGGCCCCTAGCACATCCAGGCCTCTGCCCCTCGGGGATGCCCTTCTGCCCTTGGTGGCCCTGGGCTGTTGTCCGGGGAGCAGACAGAAGGGTGTAGGAGAGACCGCCCGAGGTGGCCTCCTGGTGCCATCGGTGAGGTCCAGAGGCAGCTCCTGCAGCCTCACCAACTGCCCCTCCCCCGTCACAGTTTCTGTAGGATCCTGGCCTGCGGGGAGCACAGTGTGGCCCCCAGGCAGCCTCCCCTGGGAGCTCCATTCTGCAGCCGGGGACTCCCCGGCACGCTGGTCCCTCCAGCCTCCCTGGGTCCTGTGTGTCCTGCTGACTCTCCTCTCCTACATCCTGCCCTAATGGGTGGCCGAGGACCGGGGCCCGGTCCACCTAGGTGTTTCTGAGTCCTGGGAAGGAGTTTTGTGGGCCAGTGCTAACCGTCACCCTCGGCCCCACCAGGGGAGAGCCTGTGGGTGCCTCGGTCTTACTAGGGGAGAGCCGTGGGTGCCTTGGTCTTACTAGGGGAGAGCCCATGGGTGCCTTGGTCTCACCAGGGGAGAGCCGTGGGTGCCTCGGTCTTACCAGGGGAGAGCCCTTGGGTGCCTCGGTCTTACCAGGGGAGAGCCGTGGGTGCCTTGGCCCCACCAGGGGAGAGCCCTTGGGTGCCTCGGTCTTACCAGGGGAGAGCCCGTGGGTGCCTTGGCCCTACCAGGGGAGAGCCGTGGGTGCCTCTGCCCCACCGGGGAGAGCTGTGGGTGCCCGGTGCTGCTCCTGGTGTGGAGGTGGGAAACAGGCGCAGGCATTCTGACTCTGAGGCGGGCCAGAGTGGAGTGGCAGAGGTGGCCCCGGTGGAAGCTGGGCTGCTTCCCTGCACCACCTCTGTGCCCTGGCTGGGGTCGACCCGGGTGGGCTTCCAGATGCAGGGTCTCTGCTGCTTGGAACAGTGTCACGTAGCTCTGACTAGAGAACACCCAAGGGTGCAGGGAGAGCCAGGGAGGTGCCAAGCCCCGGGAAACCTGCTGTCAAGAACAAACATGGAATGAGAACCTTGATGCTGCCAGAGAAGCTTGGTGAGGTCAGCAAGTATGGGGGAGGGGGCAGAGCCGGAACATTCCGGAAGGTTCCTTTTAGCACCAGGGACGCCAACAGAAGGTCTAGAGGGCAGCTTCGTGAGGGGCTTCCCTTGGGAGCCATCTTGAGGAGTCGTCTCAGGGTTCAAGATCAGAGAGGGAAACCCCGCTAGAAGCATAGTGGTGGCGGTGGCACCAGGGCCACGGCGAGAGGGCACGTGGCAGGATTTCAGGCGTCCAAGTCGACTTTTCTCGTGGTGCTCTCGGAGGACAAAGAAGGGTCCAGGGAGTCAGCCTGCAGGTCGCCTGCTGTGGCATCCTGGCATAGTCAGGCACGCGGGCCCCCGTCAGCGTCCCTGGCCGCCCAGGGGCTCAGCTTAGCCCCCGCCCCCCGTCCAGGACAGCTTGCTTGCGGACTCGAAGTCCGCCCCTCCTCACAGGTGTGCTCCTCTCTCCGGGGTCTCTCCTGTGCCAGCGCCGTCCTCACCCTCACCCGTTTCCTTCTCCACAGGGCGGACTGCCACCTACCGCGGGTGCTTCCGAGTGCCGGACAACGTCACCCACGCCTTCCCCGACTCCCTGCTGCAGACCAACATGACCCTGGAGACGTGCTCCGGATTTTGTTCTCAGAAAGTAAGACCTGTCGGAATTTCACAGGCCTTTCCCGGAACCATCCGGAGGCGTGCCTGTGTGGTGGGGGTCTCCGTGCTGGCCTGCAGGTTGTGCACTGTGGCAGCCCGGGGCGGGGGAGCTGAGGAGGGCTGGTGATGTGAGGTCAGAGGTGCAGTTGTCAGCCGGGGTGTGCCTTTGCTGTGCAAGCTCTTGGCATGAGTGTCAGGTGTTGAATAGACTTGGTTCGGAAGCAAGAAGGTGCTGGCTTGGGCCTGCTGGCGGGCTCCGGTTGTCTGCAGTGACAGTGTGGGGCCGTGACTCGGACCCCGGGGACCATGGTCAATGCACCTGCTCCTTCAGCTCAGCCTGGGCTGAGGAGCGGAATGTGACGCCGTGTGTGGGTTGCGCCAGGCCCCAGACACCCCTGTCCCTGCGTCATATGCTGGCTCTGTGATGGGAACCCAGCACTGGCCAGGGACAGACCAGCCGGGTGTGGGAGAGACCCCACAGGGTGTGTCCAGAGAGCTCGGCCAGAGCCTCGGGCTGGAGTGCAGGCACCTGCAGGTGGCAGGGAGAGACTGTGGTTCTAGAAGTGGCCGTGGGGGGCTGTAGGCTGGTGTTCGGTCGTCTTGAGTGAGGCTGTGGCCCGTGGCAGTGTAGCAGAACTGGGCTACATGGAGGTGTGCCTTGCCCGCCACCACTGAGGATGCAAATGGTCTATAGATGCTGGCATTCGTGGGTTGTGCTGTTCCCAGCGCGTTAGGTGTGTCAGCTCCTCTGTTCCTTACCAGATAGGACCAGGGTTATCTCTCTCTACTTGGGAGGTCAGGAAACCGAGGCCCGGATTCACACAGGCCGTCTGTGCTGGAGCTCGGATTTGAACTCTGCCAGCTCCAGCACCTGCTGGTGGTGTGAGGGGGCATGGGTGGGTGCCAGTGAAGCAGGTGTGAGTGGACCCCAGGGAGCCCCACGGCTGCTGTGCCCCCTGCCTGCCCTCCTCCTGCTCCCGCCACCCGCGGCTCTCCCCAGACACTCCCCACCCCGGGGCGGGGTGGGGATGAAGGAGACTTTTCCTCTTGTCCCAGCACATCCTTCAGTGCACGTCTCCCATGTCACCAGAGCTTTTGAGGCCACTGCCGAGGATGTCTTGGGCGTCAGGGCTCATGGGACACAATGTGAGGACTTGACTGATTCAGACACCTGGCCTGGGGACCTCTTCTTCCCCTCTGGTCCTTGTGGGAGCAGCGCTGTGGGCAGAGGCGGCGGAGACGCCCCTGGGCTGCTGGCCCCCTGCTCGTTCCGCCCCTTCAGGGCTTCCGTGGCACCTGCAGTTCCCTCTCCCCACCGAGATCAGAGGAGCATGAGCTGGAGGCGGGCCTCCCCCAGCCAGCAACCTTGGGGGGAGTCCTGGCATGTCCCGGGCACCGGGCCAGGGGCCTTCTCGTGGGTCGGTCTTCCCAGCAGCTGTGCCAGGGGAGAAGTGCAGCGGGCAGCAGCGGCTCCAGAAGCAGTGCAGATCTGGAGAGGGTGCGCGTGTTCGCGAGCAGGTGCAGAGGGAGCGCTGACATCACAGCCTGCACTCCCTGTGTGCTGTGGCCGCTCCAGGTATGGCGCCGGGGAAGACAAGAACACACAAGAGGACTGGGAGTGCGCAGCCACCATGCCTGTGTGCTCGGGGGCGGGCGGGGTGGGGGGGCTCAGGTTACTTTTCATTCTATTAATTTTATTTAAATAAAGAGAGGGAGAGAGGAGACACTGGGTGTCCTCCGTACCCTGGTTCATTCCCCCGCATGCAGCCGGGGCTGGGCCAGGCTGAGGCCAGGAGCCCAGAACTGTGTCTGTGTCTCCCAGCACTTGAGCCATCACCCACTGCCTCCCAGGGTGCGCACGTGCAAGAAGGTGGATCAGAAGCCAAGGAGCCAGGCCTGGAAGCAGGCACTCCCAGTCTGGCACGTGGGCCTCCCAAGGGGTGCCAAATGCCTGCCCCTCAGATTAGTTTGAAGGGAGTCAAACGCTCACGTGGAGCACAAGAAGTACATAGCCCAGGGCTCGGGGGGAAGCCCGCCTCTCACTCCTGTGACCTCCCCACCGGGCTGCCACTGTCAGAGAGATTCAGGCCGTCCAAGCCCTTGCTCCTCGCCCGTTCCCCTCCCAGCCCTGCAGACAGGAGCGAGCGCACGCGTCCCACGCTGAACACATTGTCAGCCGACAGAGCGCCGCGTCTTGGAGAGTGCTCCCTTGTCAGAACAGAGAGCGCCGCCCCCTCCTTTTCCCATTCCAAGGATGCCCCACGATTTATTTAACCAGTCCCCTACTGCTAAGCATTGAAGTTCTTTTCAGCCTTTTGCTTTTACAGACTATCCTTAGGTGGTTTTGTGTGAGCGAATCCGTTAGAAACCAAACCCAAGGCAAAAACCACTCCTGGACGAAGCGGGGTGAGAGAGCCTGCGTCCTTCCCGCTCTAGTTAACTTTGCAGTGTCGCCCTCGGCCAAGGGCGTGCTAATTTTATACCCTTTCCACTGATGTTGACTTGGGATGCTTTTGGGGGAGGGTGGGTCGCCAGCAGCACCTTGAGCAGGTGCCCCGGGGTATTTTGGGGGTGCCTCCCCTGGGGCTGCCCGTCAGGGCCCAGAGGGCTCTGCTTTGCGGTTATAGACAAGAAGGTAAAGGCTTCAAATTGCTGGGGCTGACGCTGGCAGGGAGGGCGTGGTGATAAAGGAGGGAGTCGATCCAGGAGAGGCTGCAGGACCCGGATGTACCTGAGAGGACATGGGGACTTAGAAGAAGGGGAAGCGGGACCCAGCTGGGGTGGGGGGTACAGACTTGGCCAGCTGGGGAGGGTCGCTCAGGGAGGTGGCAGCCCTAAGGGCTACCCCGAGATGCCTCGGTGAAGCGGCCATGGAGGTCAGCCTGTGAGCCGGCTGCAGAGTTAGGGACGCTAAGGCAGCAGGGCAAGGATGGTGCCTGGGACGTGGCGCATCCAGGCCAAGCTGTGATGCACCCCACGGAGCGAGCCCCTCTCCCTCTGCCGCCCTGGACGTCGGGGTAACTGGGACTCAAGCCTTCTGCGTTGTTGGGCTCCTGCTCTCAGCTCCACAGGTGTCGGGATCCTCACGTCAGGCCCCAGGAGGCTTTGCTGTGGTGCAGGACACAGCCTCAGCCCCAGCCCCTACCTGCCATATGCTGGTAGCACCACTTCTTACTGCAGGGGCGGTTCCAACGCCAGACATTGCCACGGGTTCCCTGGGTGACAAAATCCACCAGGCCTGGTGGGGGCCTGGTGGGGGGCTCACAGCCCTGGAGAGCCTGCTTCCCCTTGCTGGGCAGCCGTGCCCAGGCCTGGGTCTGAACCCTGGTGAACCACCGTCCTTTCTAACTTGTTGCTGAAAATGAACAAGCTGTGGTGTAGCGGCTAAAGCTGACGCCTGCGGCACCGGCATCCCACATGGACGCTGCTTCCTGTCCTGGCTGCTCCACTCCATCCAGCTCCCTGCTGATGCGTCTGGGAAGGCAGCAAAATGGAGACCCGGATGAAGCTCCTGGTCTCTGGCTTCGGATTGGCCCAGCCCTGGCCGTCGCGACCATTTGGGGAGTGAACCAGGAGACCAGGAGATGGAAGATAATCTCTCTCTCTGCCCTTCAAATAAATAAATAAATAAATAAATAAATAAATAAACAAACCTTTAAGAAAATGAAGAAGTGGGCCGGCGCCACGGCACAATAGGCTAATCCTCCGCCTAGCGGCGCAGGCACACCGGGTTCTAGTCCCGGTCAGGGCGCTGGATTCTGTCCCGGTTGCCCCTCTTCCAGGCCAGCTCTCTGCTGTGGCCAGGGAGTGCAGTGGAGGATGGCCCAAGTGCTTGGGCCCTGCACCCCATGGGAGACCAGGAGAAGCACCTGGCTCCTGCCATTGGATCAGCGTGGTGCGCCGGCCGCAGCACGCCGCCCGCGGCGGCCATTGGAGGGTGAACCAACGGCAAAGGAAGACCTTTCTCTCTGTCTCTCTCTCACTGTCCACTCTGCCTGTGGAAAAAAAAAGAAGAAGATGCTGCCTCTGGCATTGAAGCCAGCTGAGCCTGCCACGGACCCAGGTGCTTGGAGGCCGAGGAGCGCCAGGCTCTGCCTCTGGGGAAAGGCCGCTGGCGGGGAGGCTGTAAAGGCTTCCTCACATCCAGGCTTGGCTGCAAAACAGGCCCCAGCGCCCTGAGCTGTGAGAACAGGGCGGCGAGAGTGACGCCACCGTGGCATCCAGCGGGCTGTGATGTAGCTATGGAACGTGTGTTCCAAGACTGTATGATGGGAAGCGCTCACGTTCAGTGGGGCAGCGCTAAGCTGGGGGTGACGTCTGGGTGCTTAATTGGGGCCGGCTGTGGCAGCAGGGCGCAGAGCGGCAGCTGTGAGAGGTGGGGTGTTGGGGGCGGGGAGAGAGGGGGCGCCCTCCTTGAGCACCAGTCCTGGGGCTTCTGAAACTGACCTCAGATCAAACTCTACCGTTTTCTGCAAGTTTATGAAAATGGGTCTGGGGCGCTCCAGGAGTGCTGTTTGCAGAGTGTGGGGTGGGGGTGGGGCTCAGCATCTGACTGGTGTGAGTCTCTGCCAGCCAGAGGGGCTGGACTGGTGTCCTGGGATTTTAAAGCCCAGTAGAAGGATCTTGTCCCATTTTCCTCCCTCCTTTTGGAGATGGAAGC